TTAAATCAGATAAAGTTATTATTGTAGGCGATTTTAACATTCATGTCGACGTTGATAATGACTCCCTGGCTACCGCGTTTATCTCATTAATAGACTCCATTGGCTTCAGTCAGGGTGTACATGAACCCACTCACTGTTTTAACCATACCCTCGATCTAGTTCTGACGTATGGAATTGAAATTGATAACCTAAAAGTCTTTCCACAGAATCCCTTGCTATCAGATCATTATCTGATTACTTTTGATTTCTTTTTACTCGATTACACGCCACTCAGCAACAGTTACTATACTAGATGTTTATCAGATAGTGCTGTCACAAAATTTAAGGAAAAGATTACTTCGTCGTTAAATTCAATACCAATACCTTCAGTAACAGAGGTTTCCCGTGCCGACTTTAACCTCTCCCAAATTGATCATTTTGTTGATAGCGCCGTAGGCTCGCTGCGAACAACGCTCGACTCTGTAGCTCCTCTTAAAAAGAAGTTAACAAAGCAAAGAAAGTTTGCTCCTTGGTATAACTCTCAAACCCGTAGGTTAAAACAAATATCGCGAAAATTTGAAAGGAATTGGCGATTAACCAAACTGGAAGAATCTCGTTTAATCTGGACAGACAGTCTCAAAACTTATAAGAGGGGCCTCCGCAATGCCAGAGCAAACTATTACTCAGCATTAATAGAAGAAAACAAGAACAACCCCAGGTTTCTTTTCAGCACTGTAGCCAGGCTGACTGAGAGTCAAAGCTCTATTGAGCCTTGTATTCCTTTAGCCCTTAGCAGTAATGATTTTATGAGCTTTTTTAATGACAAAATTCTAACTATTAGAGGCAAAATTCATGACCTCCTGCCCTCAGATGGTAGGCCTACCTATCTAACCTCAAACACAGCTGTAGAATCTAATATATATTTAGATTGCTTCTCCCCAATTTCTCTTCAAGAATTGACCGCAGTGATTTCTTCATCTAAATCATCAACGTGTCTCTTAGACCCCATCCCAACTAGGCTACTTAAGGAGGTCTTTCCTTTAGTTAACACTCATATATTAGATATGATCAATATATCCCTATTAACAGGCTATGTACCACAGTCTTTTAAGGTAGCTGTAATTAAACCTCTCCTAAAAAAGCCCACCCTGGATCCAGAGGTGTTAGCCAACTATAGACCAATATCTAATCTTCCCTTTATGTCAAAGATCCTTGAGAAAGTAGTCGCAGACCAGCTGTGTGATTTTCTCCAGGATAATAATTTATTTGAGGAATTTCAGTCAGGATTTAGAGTGCATCATAGCACTGAGACAGCTCTAGTTAAAATTACAAATGACCTTCTGATTGCTTCAGACAAAGGACTCGTCTCTGTTCTTGTTTTATTAGATCTTAGTGCGGCGTTTGACACAATTGACCATCAAATTCTACTGCAGAGACTGGATCACTTAATTGGCCTAAAAGGTTCAGCACTAAGCTGGTTTAAATCTTATTTATCTGATCGTTTTCAATTTGTTGACGTTCGTAATGAATCATCCTTACGTACCAAAGTTTGTTTTGGAGTTCCGCAAGGTTCTGTGCTCGGACCAATCCTATTTACTCTATATATGCTTCCTTTAGGTAACATCATTAGAAATCACTCTATAAATTTCCATTGTTATGCGGATGATACACAGTTGTATTTATCGATGAAGCCAGAAGAAAGTAATCAATTAACTAAACTCCATAACTGCCTTAAAGACATAAAAAATTGGATGAGCACCAATTTCCTGATGTTAAATTCAGACAAAACTGAAGTTATTGTTCTTGGCCCCAAACAACTCAGAGACTCTTTATCTGATGACATAGTTTCTCTAGATGGCATTGCTCTGGCCTCTAGCACTACCGTAAGAAACCTCGGAGTAATATTTGATCAAGATTTGTCTTTTAATTCTCATTTAAAGCAAACCTCACGGACTGCATTTTTTCATCTGCGTAATATTGCGAAAATTAGGCCTATCCTGACCCGAAAAGATGCAGAAAAATTGGTCCACGCTTTTGTTACCTCAAGGCTGGATTACTGTAACTCTCTATTATCAGGTAGCTCTAGTAAGTCCTTAAAAACTCTCCAGCTAATTCAGAATGCAGCAGCACGTGTACTAACAGGAACTAAGAAACGAGATCATATTTCTCCTGTTTTAGCTTCTCTGCACTGGCTCCCTGTAAAATCCAGAATTGAATTTAAAATCCTACTGTTAACTTATAAAGCTCTAAATGGTCAAGCTCCGTCATATCTTAGAGAGCTCATAGTGCCATATTATCCCACCAGAACACTGCGCTCTGAGAACGCAGGGTTACTCGTGGTCCCTAAAGTCTCCAAAAGTAGATCAGGAGCCAGAGCCTTCAGCTATCAGGCTCCTCTCCTGTGGAATCATCTTCCTGTTACGGTCCGGGAGGCAGACACCGTCTCCACATTTAAGACTAGACTTAAGACTTTCCTCTTTGATAAAGCTTATAGTTAGGGCTGGCTCAGGCTTGCCCTGTACCAGCCCCTAGTTAGGCTGACTTAGGCCTAGTCTGCCGGAGGACCCCCTATAATACACCGGGCTCCCTCTCTCTCCCTCTCTCTCTCTCTCTCTCTCTCTCTCTCTCTCTCTCTCACTCTCATCCTATTACTGCATCTTGCTAACTCGGCCATTCTGGATGTCACTAACTCGGCTTCTTCTCCGGAGCCTTTGTGCTCCACTGTCTCTCAGATTAACTCATATCGCAGCGGTGCCTGGACAGCGTGACGTGTGTGGTTGTGCTGCTGCCGTGGTCCTGCCAGATGCCTCCTGCTGCTGCTGCCATCATTAGTCATTAGTCATACTTCTACTGTTATTATACACATATGACTATTGTCACACATGTATACTGCCAGATATTAATACATACTTTCAACATATTGTACCACAGTAGCCAGAACTATAACTATAATATTATTACTTTCAATAATGTTGTTGTAAGCTACTGTCATTACCTGCCTCTCTCTCTCTCTCTCTCTCTCTCTCTCTCTCTCTGTCTCATTGTGTCATACAGATTACTGTTAATTTATTATGCTGATCTGTTCTGTACGACATCTATTGCACGCCTGTCTGTCCTGGAAGAGGGATCCCTCCTCAGTTGCTCTTCCTGAGGTTTCTACCCTTTTTTTCCCCGTTAAAGGGGTTTTTTTGGGGAGTTTTTCCTTATCTGCTGCGAGGGTCATAAGGACAGAGGGATGTCGTATGCTGTAAAGCCCTGTGAGGCAAATTGTGATTTGTGATATTGGGCTTTAGAAATAAAATTGATTGAATTGATTGATAGTTGTGTGCAAATGCTGCTCAAGAAATGTAATGTCAATAGGTCAGATGGGTTTGAAGAAACCACCGTCACACCATTGACTTGATATTGGACACACATGTTTAGGTGAATGTTTTCTACGAAAACCTCATGAACCCTCAAGGTCCGCCCACTAGATTTTCCGCCATATTGAATTTTTTGACATGTCCTCCAAGGGCGTAGGTCTTCATCATGGGATGAAGTTCTTCAAAAGTTATCAGAGGCTTTTTGATATGTCATTGAGTTTTGATGATGAACTTTAGAGGGGGTGTGGCTCAGCACATTAATAATAATAACAATAATAATAATAATAATAATAATAATAATAATAATATATTTTATTCATCAGTGCCTTACAAGACACTCACGCTCACTGTACATATTGAATAAATACATTAAAAAACAACAACATAGCAGCAACAATAAAACATAAAAAAAGCAATGACATTTAGCAGTGATAGGCTTGTTAAAACAGATATGTTTTGAGGTTGGATTTGAAAGTGACCAGGGATTGAATATTTCGGATATCTGGTGGGAGGGAGGCAGGGGGGCCGAGCGGCTGAAGGCTCCGGACCCCATGGTGGCCAGGCGGACTGGAGGGACAGTGAGGCTGATTGAGGAGGAGGATCTTAGAGTCCTGCTGGGTGTGTAGATGTAGAGACATTTCACATTCCATACTTCAAAAAATCATAATAAATCAACGGTGTATCCTCCTAAAGTGATTTTTTTTAGCACATCCACTGAAGTGTGACAAAACTTTGGCACTCTGCAACCTATAGTCAATTCAGAAGTGCGTCACTCTGTATTTTTAAGAATATGCTAAATTAATTAACATCTGTATTTCCAAAAGTCTTCATGTAAATGCAACCACTGATGACAGATACATTCTTTGGATAGTAGCTGTTACATGATTCAAATGGTGTTCGGATTGGTTTAACTGTTACCTCACAGTGATATTTATTAGGGGTGCCTGCTGTGGAACACAGGCACAACCTATTGCTATCCTATTACTCTTATTCTTAATAGTGTGGATGCTTCAGCACTTATGATATTCAAATCGTTATTCTTATTGGGTGTGAATGCAACAGCATTTACAACCTATGTTCTTCTACATTCTTTATCAGTGTGGCTAAAGATCTTTAGTTACGTTAGTTAGACTGTGTAGGAATGGTGGGCGAGTTGTGTAGCCAGAGGGCGGGTCAGGTAGCTGCTCCAGCTTCAGTTAAATCTACCTGTTCACAGTCAACCATGCTTGGGGGGGCGTGGCTGTACTGTGGTTCACTTTAGATGATGTGGAACACTGTGATTGGCTTATAGACATTCCATCTGTGAGTGTGTGTGTGTGTGTGTGTGTGTGTGTGTGTGTGTATGTGTGTGTGTGAGATTATTTGTATTGTACTTTGAGGTGAACCTAAAAATGAATTTGTGTCAGCAGGTGTTTGGAATTATTAGTTGATGAGTGACTAACTTATGCTATAGGTTAAAGTGAGAGTTGTTGAATAAAATGCCTTTGCTATACATGAAAGTCAGGCCAAACTGAATGACGGTCATCGAGACAGCACTTAAAACCATTATAGGAGTGATTTGCTTCACAGACCCAGGGGAGAGTGTGTATGAAAAATCCAACTGTGCAGAATCAGTCTGTAATCGTGGAGCCTCACACATACTGTGCTCCTATCTCTTACCTTTACTGCTACCAGCATCTTGTCCTTGGTGGGGCTCAGGTTGTAACATTCAGCCAGGAAGACCTTGCCGAAGGCTCCCTCTCCGAGCTCTCGCTTCAAAATAATGTCCCTCCGTTTAATATGCTGAACATCTGAGAGGGACAGAGATAGAGTGACTGAGTTAACTTTCATTACAATCTCTCTCTCTCTCTCTTTTTAAAATACATAAAACCACAGAGGCACTTAAAGGCAGGATCTGGAGGTTTTCAAACAAAACAAAATATAGACATATACAAATGAAATCCTGCTTAATCATCACCTATGGGCTTCTACTCATGTGTGGTGGTGACTCTGTTTGCAGAGCTCCTGCCCTTTAACTGTATTTTGATGTTTTTGTGAACTCAGACCGCTTCTGGGCGGAGATTTCCCCAGCCACTGAGAGAGTGCAGGTGCCGTGCCCGAGCGTGTCCGAGCATGCACCAGCGCGAGCCTTGCCTGAACCTCTTCTGTGAAGCCTTCTGCCGTACCTCCGGGGTCCGTACACCCGGGAGAGTTGAGCCTGATAGAAGGGGCCAAATTTGAATGTGTGTTTACAAACAGCAACTGGAAAATCCTTCAGACCCTGCATTTAAGGGAAGCTTCCAAATGTTCCTTCACAGTGCTTACATTATCCCACTCTGTAAGCCAGCTGTTTGGTGGAGCCTGTTGCCTCATTTCCCATGAATCCTTCCACTTTGCCAAAAGGTTCAGTTCAACCAAAGTACAAACCTCTGTGTCAACAGTGCCTGTGGGAACTAGGGGTGGGTAATATGGCTCTAAAACTATATCATAATATTTCTGGGCAACATGTGATATAGTTTTATTTGTCAACAGTTTGCCTTCAAATATTCAGTAAAAACTAAACAAAAAATGATCTCTCATTTCTAATTTGTAAACAACAACAGTAACTCAGAGTGAGACTCAGATTCTGTATACAATGTTATTGTTTGAACAAAATAAAACCTACCACCATTTACAGGTTTATAAAAGTTCTCAAAATACAAAAAAGATGTACCCTTCTCTTTTAGCAAAATCCTAAATGATTGAATTGGATTGAATTTTTTTTCCACCTGGACCTTTATTCTCTGCTGTTTCTCCTCATTCATCAGACTGTATCCTGTGACAGGCTGTTATGCAACCAGAACTATTGCACATTCATATATATGTAGTTTTTTTGTCAAGCCGTGACTGTCACGTAGGTTTACATTACCAAAGATTTATGACAAAATCACTCAACAACACCGACTTCTGTGCACAACGAGAGAGGAGAGGGAGGACACTTTGCTGCTGCCAGAGGAGCCACTGAATGAGTTTCCTCTGAGCAGTAAGTTGCTAAAAGAGTCTGAGAAGTCCTGGGCTGTTCATAAAACATTCAGGACACCACAGTTTATTCCACACTCCCGAAGCTGTCTGTCATAATTTTGCTTTTAGCCATGCTTGTTGTTGCGAAACAGTATGACATCAATATATCAACAGGTCGAAATACTGTGAGTACCACAATATGAATTTTCCATATCATATTAAAATTTTATCGGTATTATCATCAACGATATGATATGTTGAACTTTAATTTTCTAAAAGTATATGGAGTATATAT